GAAGAAACAGCCGGCTTTTCGGGTTCCTGACTCCTGAGCTGTACTCGCTCAGTAATACTCCCAGTCTACTTTCTTAATTTAAGTTTTATTTTTTAATATACTTTTTGTTTGTTTGTTTTTCAAGACAGGATTTTCTGTGTAACTGTGGTTGTTCTGGAACTAGCTCTGTAGGCAACGATTGGCCCACCTCTGCCTTTCGAGTGCTGGGACTAAAGGAATACACCACCACCACCACCCAGCTTTAAATCTACTTGGAAGTAGTATTACAACACTTCTCCCCTTCCTTATTCCCCCAGTACCTCCCAGATGCCCTCCCCCCCAACCTCTCCCACAGTGCCTTCCCCAAGTATGGCTCCGTTAAATGTCACATAAGGGAGGTGAGCTGCACATGGTAGACAGGCTGCCTGTGACAGAAACATGTTTCTCCACAGAGACAGATGAACACATAACAATAGCCAGCCATGATGAATAACCGTAAGTAAACCCGTTCCTATCTGATACACCTGGGAGGGGCATGGAAACCTAATCCAAGAAGAATTCCGTGATTTTGAAGAATCTGGGGTCACAAGACTCTTGTCTTAGTTTCTTGAAGTTTTCCATTTTGAGCCATGTTCACACAGTGGTAGAATGATACCCTTGAAGTGTTAGCCAAGGAGAACTTTCCTTCCTTAGGTTGCTTTGGCAGGTGCTTTGTCTCGGGGACAAGGCAAGTAACTAGTGCAACCCCACTCCCAGGATGTCTGCCTGGAGTGGGGTGTGGCCTGCGGTGCATTTTCTAACCCCTTGCCAAATGCAGTCTAAACCCAATGGGGGGTCCACATCTCTCCTTCGTGACCAGAAAGACAGGGGCGGCAGTCAGAGGAGGAATCCCGAGCATCATTGAATCGTCTACCAACTCTCTAATCTCAAGAGTCTTCCTTCTGTGGGCTTCTCGGGCTTCAGCCTTCCTGGTTCATATAATCATTAAGTGTTTACCACATGTCAGATACCAAGTCAATGGCAGCGAGCCAAACAAAGTTTTTCCTTTGTCCTTGGTCTTCACAGGAAGGGACTATGGGCCTAGAGGCCTTTGTAATCTGGGTCATTGACTCTCCATCAGTGTGTGAGTCCCTTGGGACTAAGATCCATGGGTCATTCATCTTTGGAGTGCCCATAGTGCCAGACCCAGGGCCTTCTGGGTAAATGTTTAATGAACTAACAAATAAATACAAAGGATATGGAAGACAGAAACATTTAGAAAACCCCTTGTTTCAGTCAGGAGACTCTTAAAAATTGCTCCTAACATTTTAAGGTGTTTTATTTCCTGTGCTTGAGATCAAGCTCACCTTCAAGATGCTAGCCAAGGGGTATACCATTGCATCCCACCTCTAGCCCCTCTCTTTATCCAAATTTTGATAAGATTCGAAATCGAAGATGATCAGCTCTTTGGCTCTATAGATTGCTGACTGTGAGCATATCCATTCATTTTATACAGCGTGAGCACCCTATCCGAGAGAAACACCATGGTGAACCGGGATTTACTCAGGCTCACAGCGCGGAAGCCTCCAGTCTGTCAAAGAGGGGAAGGCAGGGCTCCGTTCCCACCAGTGAGCCTGCGTGGAGGACACTGTCCATATCACAGCAGATCAGACAGAATGAGATAGGAAACTGGACGAGGCAACTACCCAGTGTCTGAACCTAGGGAACTACTTTAGGGTTCATTGCCTAGAGGTCCCAGAGCACACCCAAAAGCACCACTGGACAGAGAATGAGCATTCCAAACGCAACCCCAAGGAGGACACTTCAGCTGCTGACTATCAGCTGGGATTGTAAACTGGGAAGACTTGGGAGGTGACTTGGACAGTAAAATCCAGGAAGACCTGGATCCAGATCCCCAGCACCCACATAAAGAAAATCTGAGCAGTAATCCAGGCAGCAAAGAAATAGAGACAGGAGGATTGCTGGCCACAGCAGAATCAGTGAACTCTCAGTTCTAGGAGGAACCTTGTCTTGAAACAAACAAATATGGTAGAGAGAAACCACAGGGATCTTGACCTTGACTTTGTTTTTGTTTATTGTTTTTATTGAGCTATATATTTTTCTCCACTCCTCTCCCTTCCTCCCCCTCCCCTTATACCCTCTACTATAATCCCCATGCTCCCAATATACTCAAGAGATCTTGTCTTTTTCTACTTCCCATGTAGATCATTGATCTTGACTTCTGGTGCACGCGCACACACACACACACACACACACACACACACATTTTATTTTATTTTAAGTTAACAAATAGTAGTTACTTGCACAACCTACTGTTTTAAAGTGTGTGTGTACTATGAGCTAGTTAAATTTAAAGTGATGCACCTCACATGGTCACCATTACATTATGGGACCGTTCATCCACTCACTCAGCACTCATTCAACACAGCGTTTCACCGTTAAGTACCATTGCTGTGCTATGCAGCACAATAGATGTCTTGAACATATTCCCCTGAACATACTGCAATGTCAAACATTCGACCAACATAGATTTATGTCACAAAAATCCTGTCAAGCAAAAAAACCAAAACAAAAGCAACAACAAAAAGTATTTACCTGCTCCACCCAGTAAAACCAAGCGTCAAACCCAGAGCACACACTGCAGCTACGTCTCCCAGGCTCCCAGTCCAGTTTGCTTCATCTTAGCTTCTGCTTTTCACTTGTAAAACATCTTATTTAGCTATGATTTTTGTTTGGTTTGCTTCAATTTGGTTTTTTTAAACTGGGTTTCTCTATGTAGTCCTGGTTGTCCTGAAACTTGCCCTGTAAACCAGGCTGGCCAGGAACTCAGAAACCCTCCTGCCTCTGCCTCCCGAGTGCTGGGATTAAAAGCCTGCGCCACCATGACTTAGTTATTATTTTTGAAAGAGGATCTTGCTATTTAGGATGGCTGGCCTTAAACTTGCAATCTTTTTGCCTCAACTTCTTGAGTGCTGAGATTATAAGTGTGAGTCACCTTGCCTGGATTGGCTTCTTCCCTAGTCCAGGACTCTCATGGGATGGACGTGGTGTGCTAATACTACAGGTTCATGTCCTATGCTTTGGCAGTCCCAGCAATGGCCACATGTCACTCCCAGGGCATTTTCTGACAGTTTCATCTTTCTGTCCATGAGCCAACACTTCGGCTGGTAAAGAGTACACTGTACACTGTGAGTGGCTAGCCTGGGATGTGGCCGTTCCCGACTACAATACACAGGATGTCACCACTGTTGCTCTCACAAGGAACATGTGTGTGAGGGTTAAAACTGTCAGCGTATGGTTCTAGGATTGCCTAGGACAGAGCCATTTGGCACACATCCAGATCAGTTATTGGGGGTGGGAAGACTCGCCTTAACTTGGAGTGGCTCCATCCCAGGGCCAGGATGCTGAACTGGATGTAAAGGGGAAAGCAAGCGGAGCTACGACATTTGTCCCTCTCTGAGTCTTAACTGCAGATGCAGCACGATGGCCTCCTCAGATTCCTGTCACCATGGTCCCCACCACAGAGGACTCTACCCTGAAACTGAGCCAACTCAACCTTTTCTCCATTGCGTTCCTTTGTCACAGCAATGAGGAAAGGTACTGGCATGATGTGGAATTAACAAGGAGCCCCGAGGGTGAGCCACATGCCACGGTCTCCTGGGAGGGTGAGCTACATGTCAAGGCCTTCTGGGAGGGCGAGCTACATGCAGGGCCTTCTGGGAAGGTGAGCTACATGTCAGGGCCTTCTGGGAGGGCAAGCCACATGCCACGGTCTCCTCAGAGGGTGAGGCCTTCTGGGTACTTCTTGTCTTTCTGTTTCTCTATTCTTACTTAGAGAGGTTTGACCTCACTTGAATCGTCATGAAGTATGTATGACAGGGGCCGTATATCTAGAGAAAAAAAAAAATTTTTTTTCAAGGCAGAAACTGTGTGACTTTTCCTGGAGAGAATACTTCTATTCTCCACAGATCAAAAAGAAAGGATTCCAATTCCTGGTTGGCGAGCTAAGGAGTTCACTAACATTGCTTCCATTAGCAAGGGTCACGCTCATGGGTTCCAGAAAAGCCCACGCCAGGAGTTCCCTGCACGACAGCTGGTAGCTCCACGGAAGAGTCTTCTCTCCCGCTGGAAATTATGACTGCCTATACAATCCAAGAGCCATGTACCTGCCCTGGCAGCCTGGATCTTATAAGTTGCTTGTGCTTTCTGAGCCTCTTCCACCTTTCAGAAAAGAATACTCCAGTCCGTATCCCTTCTACCAGGGAAGCAGAAGCTTTTTCTAGAGACACCCAAGCACACTGCCCTTCTAAGAATCGCTACTGCTTGTTGGACCTGCTGTCCCGTGGCTGCAAGGGAAGTGAGGAAATCTAGTTCTAGTTCTGACTAAATTAGCTTGGGTCAGTATCTCCCTGTCTTCTGTAGCTTCACGGAGCGGCACATCCCCTTTGGAGGCCCTGCAGCCTGCTCGTTCTTCGTTTTACCAGGACAGGCAGACTATATCGCAGTAGGTCATTGTTTCCAGATCCTACCGCTGCTAGGACTCCTAAAGTACCCAGTTACTCCTGTGGCTTCCGGAATGCTGGGGTTACAGGTGTGGGCCACCTCTCCAGGCTTTTCAGATCGGTGTGGTTGTTTCCCCAGCGTAGCTCAGTGCTCGGTATCATTCCACCACTGTCCTGTGAGGGACCAAAATGCCAGCCTGTGCCGGGCCCTGAGCAGTCAGCAGCTTTCCGAGCCCTTTCCTGGATGGACGGCTTCATAGATGACTGGCATTGCTGTCCATAGGCTCCACACAGAGCCAACCTAGTTTCCCCAGCTGTCACCCCTTCCTCACACCCCAGGCTGTCACTTGATTTTCCTAAAAATCTCCCCCTTGCCCGTGAAGTCGTCAGGTTGTCTCTTTTGTCCTTGGGCGACGGCACTAGCGCCTCTCCCAGCCACCCTCCTGCGCTGAACCTTGAATTGATACAGTGGGTGTGACTCTCAGGAAGTTGCTCATTATTTGCCATTAGTGCCTCGGAGTGCGTACCTTCCCATTATCCCATATCTTTCCATATTCATAGTCCTTCCTTCTCTCACTTCTCCCTCCCTTTCCCCTTCCTCCTTTCTTCCCTCTCTCCGGGGGAACTGGTTCAACCAGAGTACAACCTGGTCATCTACCTCTAGCGCTGGAGCAGCTGCAGGAGCTGGGACGTGCCGAGCAGCAGCGGAGCTGAGGCTAGGGAGGCCAGGCTGGCTCACTGCGGGGCGCCGAGGACGAGCAGACGGCCCGGCCGCCTCCTGGAGGCCCATGCGGGGCCGGTACAGCCCGCTGTTCGTTCATGAGGCCGCCGTGGTGCGGGAGGAGGACCCGCGGCATCCCGCTGGGGCTGCTCGCGCTCTGGGTGGCCGCCGCCCGCTGTCTGCAGAGTAAGTACCTCGCAGGTGGGAGCGCCTTGGCGAGTGGGAACAACATCGCTGGAAGGGGCGATCCTTCGGGTGCTGGCCGGGAGGGCTAGGGGATGCGGACTAGGGTCCGGACGGGCGAGCAGGGCGCGGCTGCAGAGTGCTAGGCCGAGCTAAGGCTCCCTTGGTGCCCTGGGCCGCTGCCTCTGCGGTTATCAGAGCAGGAAGCCGGCCTGGAGATAACTCCTGGCCAGAAATTTCTATTTTCTTCCTGGAAATAACCAGATTGCAAATCCCCAGGTCTCCCGCTCACTCACCACCAGACTGGTATTAGACACCCTCTGTGAGATTCCTGGGTCTACGCGCCTCCCTTAAGTTCCAGATAGCCTGGGGCTCAGGAAAAGGGGTCGGAGGCTCACTGGAGCGTGAGCCCAGAGAAGGTGCCTGGTGAGCCAGCGCTAGAATCCCTGGAATCACCCGTGAGTCAGAATGTTGCACACGACCATCATCATCTATAGACACGACCGATTACGCTGCAGTTTTACTTTCTTGTTCAGGACTGTCATTATTACCATTCCCATCTGTTGACAAATCAGTCAACAGAGGTCTAGAAAGGGCCAGAGTGGAGCTACTGGAGTTGAGAGAGCTAGGAGGGAGAGCTGGCCCTTATCAAGATCCCGGGGATCTACAAGCTTCCTAATGGTTTAGTCCTCAAAAAAAACATATAAAATCAGAGCCACTGCCACTTTTCTCTGTGTTCTACACATGCTGAAACTGAACACGGGAAGGGACTGCCTACCTAGTGTGTAGTGAAGTCAGGGCTCACACTGAGCCTCTAGCCTCTTCCTGGAGAACAGCACTGGTATTTGCAAGAGCCAGCAAGAATGGGATGGGGCTGTTGCTCCTGCAGCTAGGGAGCAGAACATAGCAGCTTTTAAGACCAGCAAAGGGGGCTCTTAACAACCACCTTTCCCGTTGTTTTCCAAGCCTCAAGCACACGCTTCCAGGCTCCATTCTTGCTCTTGGTGCATATGCCTGTGATGTTCAGGGGATAGCGTCCAGATCTGTCTTTTCCCTGCAGGAAGCAAGCAGGGCACAGTAGATACAGGCAGCATTGTGGTTAAGAGCTTTTCCTTTGAAGTGGCCTTTGGAGGAGGTAGGTGCTGCCTTCCTGGAACACTATGAACTCAGATTTGGGAAACCAGAACTCTCTATGCAAAGGAATCCACTCTTAACCTGAACCTAGCAGCTGGGTAGGAGCCACCATGACAGTGTTGACAGAGGGAACACAGAATGTTTCGGACATTCAAGCCGGGAGACCAGGTGAACGCTTGCATCACCTGGTGGCTGTACCCTGCACAGCTGTGGGCGTCACTGTCCATTCCGATCAGTCCCTAGTGTCTCTTCAGTATTGGTCAGGACCTACTCTTTTCAAATGAGGGGATGGGGGCCTGCTTGGGGGAGCCCTGAGCTGCAGCCAACACTAGTGATGTGGGGTGACCTTACCCTCTTCTCCCCAGTTCCCTGCATCCTTCAGTGCAGGGCAGGGACAGAGCCCAATGTTATAGCTCTTTTCTAATGTGAACAAGGCTCTGTGCTTGGCACCTAACACTGCTCGAAAAGAAAAAAAGAAAGAAATGATGGTGTTAAAAATGAGAGAATGAATCTTCATTCCACAAAGCCTGTGTGAAAACATGCCCCAGACACACAGAATGCCTGTATTCTGAAGCCTTTCTCTGTAACTGGTGTTGTTATGGACTAAATACAGACCCCTGAATCCTCCGGTTGAAAGTTCTGATGTGATGTTATTTGGAGGCAGGGCCCTTGTGGTGAGGTTGGGACTCCTGTGGTGAGGTTCACATTCTTACCAACCGAGAGATCAGAATTCTTCTGTTGGTGAGAACACAGGGAGCAGGTTAATAAGCCAAGAGGAGGTGTTGCTAGACCAGGGAGATGCTCAGCAGGGAAAGACACTCTTCACCAGTCTTGGCGACCTGAGTTTGACCCTGGGATCCCCAAAGTGAAAGGGAAGAAGTGCTCTCGTAGATTGTCCTGTGAAGCCACACACGCCATGACACACGTGCACCCCTATGGATAACATACACCCAAGTAAGGAAAAGCAAAATAGTTTTTAGATAAAATACGACTGCATTAAATCCCCTGGACCTTGTGCTTCTCATCCTCCAAAACTGAGGGGAGGAATAAGTGACTGTAGTCGATCACTCGGTCCAGACTCTTACAACAGCCCAAACTAGAGCAATTGCATGGAGGAGTGGGCAGCTACAGCCGTAAACCAGTTACTGGGTGCAGACTGGAGACGTCTTGAGGAGCGTACTGTAGGTTGGACGGGAAGTTCTGGTTCGGTCTCACAGAGAGATAAGGAGTGTTGCCAGACAATGGAGAGAGAATCCGTGTAAAGTAGCAGACATCTAGACTGGGTCGTCTTCACGTGTCAGTGCTTTGTGGAAAGGAGAAGTTGCCAGCAATATGGTTGGTTATTTAGCTGAGGAGATTTCTTTTTTTTTATTTTATTTAGGTTTTTTTTTCCAGACAGGGTTTCTCTGTGTAGCCCTTGCTGTCTTGGAACTCTCTGTAGACCAGGCTGGCCTCGAACTCACTGAGATCTACTTGATCTGTTTCCCAAATGTTGGGATTGAGAGTGTAGCACCACCACCCAGTTCTTTGGAGTGATTTTTTTTTTTTTTTTTTTTTTTTTTTTTTGGTTTTTCGAGACAGGGTTTCTCTGTGGTTTTGGAGCCTGTCCTGGAACTAGCTCTTGTAGAACAGACTGGTCTCGAACTCACAGAGATCCGCCTGCCTCTACCTCCCAAGTGCTGGGATTAAAGGCATGCGCCACCACCGCCCGGCTGGAGTGATTTTTGATTAGAGTCAAAGAAAACACAAGAAGCAGTTTCTTCCGGTGATATACTATAGAAAAGGTTAAGGGGAGCTGGCTTTGCTGGGGAGCATACTGCTGAATGGCCACACATATACCCTCACTGTAGGCATTAACTTGGAGCTTGCATCCTCCTGCCTCCATGCCTGAGTGCTGGATACCATCACACTTGGTTTCATTGTCGTTTTTGGCAATGGAACCCAGGAGCCTTACCTTGTGGGCATTAGGAAAGCTTTCTACCAACTGAGCTGTACTTTAATACTGACAGCCTACCCTGCTTTTACTCATGCCCAGACTTTCCCACTCTGTGAAGAAATGCTGCCTGTACGGCCTCTTCCCAATCTACAAAGGCCGTGGGTGTCTGGGAAACAGTAAAAACTAATCTAACAAAATTTTTCTTGGAAAGCAGTTTCATTGTCTCCAAGCCATAATTTTGCCATCTGTGCTTAAAAGTTTGTTCTCAATGTTGTCTTTAGCTGAGGAGATTTCTAAGCAAAACATCGGAGAAGGGGCTTGGTTCTTCCTGGCTGCTTATAGCAAATCCACAGGGGGAAAACGAATTGAGCTGGATGTGGTGGTACATACCATTGATCCCAGCACACAGGCGTTCGAGGCTAGCCTGGTCTAGGTCAACTAAGACTACATAGTGAGACCATGTCAAAAACAAACAAACAAAAAGAAATCAGATCTTAAAGATGTGGCCATAACCTGACAATACTATAAAAACATAATGATGATAACAAAAGAATATCAGGAACAGAACAGCAGGGGTGTGGCGAGCAGCCTTGGTAAGTATGTCTGTGAACCTAGGCATGCATCAGCCATCCCAGTCTGAACTGACGGGGCCAGGACAGAATAAAGGAAGAATGTGGGCGTCTTAGGTCCAGCTCGGCTGACCATGGAGCTATGCAGCTGTAGACATGTTCTTCCGAACAGAAAAGTAAGCAGTACTGATAAAGAGATTGTCAGGTTGCCTTGGTACAAATGAGAGAGGAGGGGACATTGTTCTTCCAGGCTACCTGGAGGAACATCAGGGGTCACCTCAGCATGCCTGGGGTCACCTTAGTATGCCTGAAGGCAGAGCATCTAACCGAAGAAACTCTCTGGTCTTTCAACGTGTCTTACTAAGCTCAAATCCCATCGCTCCAGTCCTCCCTTTGGTTTCTTCCTAATGGAAAGACAATCTCTGCACTGTCCAGTGGTGGTCACATCAGCGCATTTTGGAATATGTAGCTTCTGTAGTTCCCAGTGCACAGGCAGAAAGGACCTTGCTCAGGATGGGCTGTCCCTGGGAGTGCATCCACATCTTCCTTAGACAGCACTTAAGCAATACTTTAGAGTTAACTAATTCCAGAATGAGTCTGGGAGACCAGAAATGGAAGGTGCAGGCTGCATGTGTTGTCACAAACTTAGGAAAAACGAGAATCTGCCTTCTCGCTATTCAGGACATAGCAAGATGGTGACAGCCTGAAGGCCAGGGTGAGAGTCCTTCCTCACCAAGAGCCACAGACACCCTGGCCCTACGCTTTCCTCCTGGAAAGTGGGATTGGGGGTGGAGAGCACAGTTATGCCATGAAGGTGGGGATACATCCTGAGACTTGCATTATCAGCTGATCTGGGTGTAATGAGAACATCTTAGGGGGTGCTCACAGAAACCAAGATGTCTCTGACGTCACCATGAGGTAGGTATGTGTGTGGCCCACGGTTCTGGGGTGTGTGCCTGTGCTTACATAGATAGCTAGAACAGGAATAGGAAGAGGGAGATTACCAAGTTCAGAGTTTCAAAGTGGCTTTCTCATAAACAATTGCCTCATCTGCTAGACATCAATCAGCTCTCCGAACATGGGAGATGACAAAATGGATCGGAAAGAATATTTCTGGTCCACGTATTCAGCCTGTTGAGAATGCATGCTGGCCTTCTGCCTGCTGAGGGACACCATAGGGGTAGTTCAAGGCTGCCCCATGCTGACCCAGAGAATCCCTGCTCTGAAGAATCCCTAGATGGCAGAGAGAGGCCTCAGAGGTTTAGTGGAGTCCCAGCCTCATAAGGCCAGAGTTCCTAGGGCAAGACAGTGAGGAAGGAAGGAAGGAAGCTCAGTGTTCCAAACAGTGCTGCCCATTAGAACTC